ACATTGTCATGTATATCTTGAACCATATATAATTTTTTCCATGGATCGATATATATTAAAAGGAAGGATGAAACTATTTAAGAGGGGGGGAGTTGGGGCTCACGATCTGAACTGTCGGGTACTTGTCAATTGTCAACACCGAAAAGAAGAAAACAAATGAATAGCAATGAATGAAGAAATTGTACCAAATCAACCAAAGGGCAGAGGACGATTGTGATATGCCCACGAGGGGGTAACGTGCAATTGGGGCATCATTTTCCATAGTTGGGGTTTTGGTTTTATTATTGCATATTGCACAGCAACTTCTGCTTCTGCACTTGCGCTTGCAGTTGCAGTTGCAGGCGCTAGTCCACCCAGGTCCTCTCTAATATGCACTACTGCTACTGCTTATTGCCCACCCAGCCCCACAATCAAAAAGCAAGGTTGTTAAACCCCTATCGAACCCCCAGTCTGACTCGAGTCGGGCTTTAAAACGGCCTCCAGAAAGCTCCCCGATCTGACCCCTAAAGAGGGAGAAGAAGAGAGGGGGAAGAGAGGAAAAGGAACGAAGGAAGGGAAATGGTGGGTGGATCATAGATGTTAGGTAGATTTATTTTGTTGAAAATAAGTTTTTAATAGATATATGTAAGATAAATTTTATTTCACTCATTAAATCTTTAATTACTACCTTATTTGTATATATATTTAGAAACGTCCAAAACGGCTCAAACCGGCCAGACCCCGACCAGACCATTAAACCTCAAATCCCTTGCTTGACAGGCTCAATGACTTAAACCGGTTTGACAACCTTGATCAAAAGCGCTAGCCAATTTAAGTCAGTCCTCTTCTCTCTCTTTCTCTCTCCCACACACTCTATAGTACTCTCTACCCAATATCACATGGGTTTTTGGTAAGCCCTCCCAATCTATGTATCCTAACAAGGTTTTGATGGACCAGCAGCACATACTCAAATTGCATGTGGGTTTTAACAACATATAAATATAATGTCATTGTGAGTTATTGGACACCACAATATAAGTTTGAGCGACAATTGTGTGACTGTCAATGTCCAATTACAAACACGAGAGAGGGGTGGCTCGAATATATCATTCATATTGACAGAGAAGGGAGAGTTAACAACCAGTTGGAAAAATTCAAGGTTTACGTTTTATTATACCATCAATCACATGCCTCTACGAACATAAATGTATTTATGCTTGAAGATTGTAGAGGTTCATAATGTTCTTGTGCATTGTTAAACATGGATATTGAAGGGTTCACAAGATTCAAAGCACATGATGACCTTTCAGCCAATGACTTCACTAGTGCTAAGTCAAGAATCAGCTAATAACGAGTAAGGTGTATTTTCTTAAGTGAGAATAAGGAGTAGTTGTGGAGAAAATTGATGGGAAGGAAGGTAGAAGGTACTGGGGCAATCCAGCTAGTGTGTTCATATGAACTAGTTTGCAAGTTCTAACGAATGTGGGGGGAGCTCAAACGCTTGATCTGATAACTCTCGCGATCTCGTGTATATGTTCTCACGAACGGGTTGTGAACACAATAATCGGATCGGGTGTTCGGAAGAACTAGATGAGGAGAGGCGAGAGATAAGCACGAGAGCATGAGAACAAAACGAAGTGGTGCCAATGGGGGACCTTTGACACACATGGGGGTGGAGGCTAGGGCTGGCTGCCAGTACGTACTGTTGTGTGTTTGTGGGGTTTTATTCCTTTCTCATTTTCTTTCTTTGCGGTTATGAGAGTGAATGGAGCCACCTAAAAGTCGAGAGACAGGGAGAGAGAGAGAGAGAATCTTTTGCAAAATGGTGGTTGGAGTTGGAACTTGGAAGTGCACGCTTGGGCTAATCCCCTTACTGCCTTACATATATGGTCCATCTCAAGATTTCCAGATCTGACTCCGACTCAGCTTATCGGCTTGCCAATATTACCAGAGAAATTTTACAATGCTATATAGTATTGGTGCTATAGGTTTTTGCCTGTATGGTACAACTTAAAATTGTACATTTACGTTATGGTACAACTTCAGATTGTACCTATACTTTTTGTACAAATTCTTTTATGGTACAACTTGAACTTGTATCTTTATGTGATGGTACAACTTCAAGTTGTAAAGTTGTACCATAACATAATGATACAAATTGCTTTATGGTACAACCTAAACTTATACATTTAATGTTATGGTACAACTTTGAGTTGTACATTAAAGCACCAATGCTATATAGCATAGTAGAAGTGCTCATATTACCAATCCACTTAAAAATACAAATTTTCGTAGAAGCGTCATGATTATCTGAAAGTGTAAAATGGTAAACTTTAAAGCATAGATTTTTTTACTATACTTATAAGTGAAACGTGTCATTCTGCATTAAAGTATTTTAGTGACCTGTAACCGTAAATGCATAAGTTTTAATTTTTAAAACGTCATTTTGACTATATTAAATTTTTACCGCTCTCAGTAGTCAGTAGCCAACAAAAGTTTTTAATTGATCGTTTGATAAAACCGTTAAAATCAATTAATTCAGATTGAATTTGATAAAATCCCGTTTAATACCAAATCGAACGCATAAAACGCGATATACCATCCAACCCAATTCAAAAGGCTATTATTCCAACATCTGCTTCAACAGCCATGCAAACTTGAGAATTGTAAAAACAAAGAACAAAATGTAGAGGCATCATAATCGGACAAAGAATAGGGAGGCGCACCCTCGTTAAACAAATCAGAGTCAGCCAATGCCAAATTAACCCTAGAAAAAGAGCTGTGATTAGAGCCGCGTGGTGGTGGTGGTACCAAGTAGCGCAACTAGCTAGTCCAGAGACAGACGGTGTGGAGATGACAGTAAAGTGCTGACTGACTCTCACCCTCTCTCTTCTCTTGAAGGCTGAGGCTGACTAAACGCCAATCAAGCCGAGCAACAAAACAGCGCAGCAGTACCACTGTATTTGCCTTCTTTTTATTCAGAAAACCCAGAAGAAAAAAAGTTGGTTTCGGGGTGGAGAAAGAAGGAAAGAGAGAGAGAGGAATTGCATAGTTGCAGGCAGAGAGATTGAGGCAAAGACAAAACTAATCAATTCATTGCATACAAACAAGTGCTCGTGGTCGTGGACACCCCCAACCCACACGTGCAATCAATTATCTCCTCCTTTTTCATTTTCCTTTCTAGCTTTTCTTGTGATAACAGTTATCAAGTTTTTTTGTTGTTTTTCCATTGAGCTAAAAAATATATATAGGATAGTTTGCTTCATGAATTTGATAATAGGACTTCTGGTAAAATTTGAAAGAATTTATTGTTTGTTTATTGGATTTGATTATAAATTTACTTGATTAGATAGTGGATTTATGGTCATGCTTCAAATTCCACTTTTTGACAAGGGATTTCCAACTCTGTAGGGGTTCATGGTTCAGTTTCTTTCTGTACCCTCAAAGTTCATGAGCCATGGATTTGATCCCCAACAAACTTCAAGCCAATAATAATTTTGTATAAAATCCATGATGGATTCATTTTGTGACCCAAATCTACCTATCTTAAATAGCACTACAAATGTTCGGGTGCTTAATCACTTCTTACTGTGACTGATATTAAAGAAACCGATTTTAGGTCATTGGGCATGTGCAGCCCGAACCATTTCCGCCGGTGAACGGCATTTAATTATTTTTTGTCGTGCGTCATCGGACGCACTCGTGCGATCTCCTAGAATGTCTTTCTTTTGCCCTTTTTCAATCAATTGTTTATTCAGAATGATCATCTCGAATGTGTCAATTTAATTTGTGGACTTCCCTATCGTACGCATGGATTAAGATAGAGATATAGAGATGCATATAATGTCTCGACACATAAATACAGCAACAACAGCACAGTAGAGCACAGTCACAAGTTGGGCCGGCAGACGACGAGCGAATTTATTAGCGCGATTGATGGGATCGATCTTTCGATAATTCCTTCTTCCTCATGGCCCATCACCAATAATTGTTCGGATGATGCATGCATTGGCAGTGCACGCCCGTTGCTGTTAATCGGCAGAGAATTATTGCAGAGAATTTTAGGGTGTAGGTCACTCCATTTGCCATTTCTTTGGCCTTCCACGTCCTCTGTAGTTAGAGCTAATCATAAGCTGACGAGGTCCTCGATCAACAGTTAATTATCAACGTTGGACAAATAATTGAAAAGTTCTCCTGCGGAACTGCACTATATTTTTCGTCAATAGTATATATATTAGTAAGAAAAGTAACTCTTTTTATATACTTTTTTTTTTCTGGATTTCCAATCGAGTCTGAATTGTAAAATATCTATTCGATAGGAACTCGGCTAACAAGGCTCACCAATAGAGAACATATTAATCATATGGTAGATCTTATTTTATGGCTCGTTTGTACGTCGCTTTTCTAAAATGCTTTCTCATTTTTCTGTCAATTCAAATCGATGCAAAAAAAAAAAAACAATTTATATAGTCTCGGATCGATTAGATGCATCCATTATGTATTACAAAACATGGCAATGTGATTCAATAAATTTATTTGTCAAAATACACTTGTATAGCCAAAACTTTCGCGTTTGTGCTAATAATAGCCAAATTTGGAGAAATACCACTTATAGCCAGAATTTTGAAAGTTTCATGACAAATATAGTCATTTCCGTTACAAACTTTAACGGTGTTAGAGACTCCTTCAGTTAGGTTAACGCTAGAGTGACTAGGATGCGAAATCATCGCACACGTCAGTGACAAATCACCCTATCATTGCCACGTCATTAAATTTTGATTTATAAAATTAATTAATTTTGAAAAAAACATAAAATATCACTTATTCCAATGTGGAAAAAGGAAAATAAATTAACTAAAATAAATAAATTAATTAAAAGCTCTTTTCTAATCTTTACAGATTCCTCCGCGGGTACCTTCCTCCTTCTTCCCTCGTTCTTCTTTTCTTCCTCTTCGACAGTCACCAAATACCTGCAGCAATTCGCTAATGAAAAGAGAGCAGAACCTTAATTCCTCAACATCTTACCCGTCTTCGGGTCTCGCTGAGGTTTCCGCCATGGTCGTCGGGTCTCGGCATAGGCAAGCGGTTGCGCGAAGAACGGAAGAAGAGGAAGGAACGCGGCGGAGAGTCAGGGTCGATAGGGGAGTCCAGAATACAGATCGGAGATGGGGAAGACTGGACGACATCAGTGATGGCGATGGCAATAATGGCGGGATGACGAGTCGGAAGAAGCGCTGGAGTCGAGCTCGGATCAGCAGCTGTATCTCCGTCTCTTTGGCGGCCATGGATTTGGAATTAGGGTTTTCTGGAGAGTGTTTGCTGGAGATGCATACAGGGATGACCAAATTGATTTTTTTCAATTTGTAGATGGAGATACGTCTTGTTGGAGATGCGGTCGAATCTCCTGGCGATGACAGCCTCCATCCAGCTCGACCCAATCCATTTCCTACCCCATGAAGGCCCATGCTTTCCCCTGCTTTCCCCTGCTCATCAATCCCCCTCCTCTCCCATTAGTAGAATCAAATCCAGCAATCCTCCTTTAGCTTCATAATATGGAACAGAAGACTCTGCGACACGATGGCGACGGGGGTTGAGCAAAGACGACGAGGCAGAAGGCTGACAAAGGGACGAATCTGGAACAGGGAGCCATCACCATCGCCACCGAATCCCTAATCCCCAAATCCTTGTCGTCATCACCATCGCCACCATCACCATCTATCGACAGTGGAGCCACGATTCTGGGAGCCATCACCATCTCTGACCTGGTTTCAAGTTCACTTCGCAACCCGCCGCTACCGTCGTCGGAGCTTCTCCCCCGTCCTTCCTCTCCTCCACCAGTTGAACCCCCCAATTTAGTAAGCAGAAAATTCAGATTAGGGAGATCGCGATGCAAAGAGTGGATTGAGAATCGGGTTCAGATTTGATTCCGCTCTGGGCATTTTTTAAGATAGAAAGAAGAAGATAGAGATGAGAGGAGAAGGATTTCTAGGGAAGAAGAAAGGGGAGTGAATTTCTTCTTCGTTGATGCAGACGAGAAAAGGGGAGAAGGTTTTTCCTTTTTATGATTTTTTATTTAACGTAATTAATAAAAGGATAAAATTTTGATAGTGGGGAAGAAGAGAGATGGAGAGAGAAAATAAAAATTATTTATTTTATTTATTTTTAGTTTCCACCTCACATTTTTAATTGACTAACGGTCGCCAACTCAGCAATGCCGTTAGTACAGTCAGCCTGTTACTTGACACCATCAAAGAATTGGACGGAAGTGGCTATTTTTGGTATTTCGCCAAAAGTGGCTATATTTGACAAAACCGTCAAAGTTCTGGCTACACAAGTGTATTTTGCCAATTTATTTTTCAGGTAATTGGATCAAACAAATAAGTTAATATGTCCCACAAGAGTATTTATTTGTGAAATTAAGGAGACCATTGGGACACTGAGGTTCATTGGCTAGAGAAGTAATTTTGGGACAGATTGGCCTATCCCTTCTGAAAAGTTGACCAAACAGCAAATTGACCCTTTTTTTTTACAAAAGATAATCATATATAGATTGAAACAAAGGTAGTTACATCTTGGAGGTCAGCCGGGTCTGATAATCAAAAAGACGACTCATAGTCGGGTACAAAGAGAGGGCCTTTCTAGCCACCATATGGGCTTTCCTATTGTTTCGCCGACCTACAAACCGAACACCAAAACCATCACGCGAGGCGAAGAGATGAACAACTTCTTCAAGAATGGCCCCCACCTGGTTATCCGCAGTGCTACCTCTATTAATCTTGTCAATGAGCACCATAGCGTCCCCCTCAAAGCGGACTGCTGTCAATCCCTGGGCAAGGCACCACCGCATAGACTCCTGTAAACAAAGTAATTCGGCCACCAAAGGGGCATCCACTCCAGGAAAGTGATACCCTTGCGCACAAAGGACCTCCCTATTAGGACCCAGGAGGACCATCCCACCCGCGGAATGAGAACCATTCCTAGTCGCCCCATACCACATACACACCAGGGAACCACTGTCCACAGGAGGATCGGGGGCAGGCTGAGGGTTAGAGAGACTGGTGCCTGAATCTTTAGGCAAAGTGACCCACTCTTCATATTGCTGGTGGAATTGACGCATCAAGGCAGGAATCCCAACCTGTTTTCCTTCAAAGACAACCCAGTTTCTTGACCTCCAGATTCGCCAGAGAACGGCCACCACTGCCATGATAATTGAGGGTTGGGATAAAAGGGACATCAAACGTTTCAGGAATAAAGGGAAGGTCTGACGCGGCAACCCCTGCCCTAAATAATCCAAGCCCGAATGGTCCCAAAGAGCGCGCGCCACTGGACAGTACAGGAACAGATGCTCCATGGTTTCAGTTTCAGCCCAACAAACCGGACAACGGGGGTGTACTGGAATTTGCTTTTCAATCAAGGCTTCCGTAGTGGGCAAGATTCGGTTAAAGATCTGCCACATAAACACCTTCAATTTGGGTGGGATATCCGCATCCCACAGACGAATCCAACTTCTCTTATCCATCCAACTAGCGGAGGCTTTCCATCGGCCCTTCTGTCTATCCAAAGTGACGGCCAGATGGTAAGCAGATTTGACCGTAAAGACCCCATCCGTCGTACCATGCCAGATCAATTTATCCACCCAGTCCTGGCGAGGAAGGGGGATCCTTTTAATCGCGCGGCAAGTCGGAGGATCAAACCATTGCCGGAGTTTTGCTTCACACCACCTGCCCTCGCCAGAGACGATAATCTCTGCCACCCGCGAGTCACCGTCTTCAGGCAAGACCTGAGGATTATAGCGAGGTGGGATAGGGTGAAGCCTAGGAATCCAACTGGACCGGAGCAGAGATGCGGACTGACCATTACCAATCTGTCATCGTAAACCTGCCTCTAATAACTGACGCCCATAAAGAATACTCTGCCAACCCCAAGAAGGGCGAGAGCGGGCCGTAGCTTGGAGGAATGTCCCATTTGGAAAATATTTCCCTTTGTAAACCTGAGCCAGAAGGGACTGGGGCTCATTCAGAATTCGCCACCCAATTTTGGCTAGGAGGGCCTGATTAAACTGTTCAAAACGCCGAAACCCCATGCCCCCCTCGTGCTTACTCCTACACATGTTACGCCAGGAGATCCAATGAACTTTAGAGTGGCCCTCCTCTGCACCCCACCAGAACCGGGCGACATGTTAATCCAAGAGCCGGCAAAGGGACAAAGGAAGCCGAAAACAGGACATAACATGCAATGGCAGAGCCAAAGCGACAGACTTAATCAAAGTCTCTTTGGCTGCCGAAGAGAGGGTTCTCCGTTTCCAGCCCCGTAGGCGAGCCAACAATTTCTCCTCAAGATATCGAAAAGTCACCATTTTAGAACGGACAATTAGGGTGGGCAAACCCAAATATTTATCATGGACCCCAACAGCCCCCACCCCTAGGATTTGAGCCAAGAAAGTCTGATCCTGCGACTTAATGTTTTTGCTAAAACATACAGCTGACTTGGCCAGGTTCACGCGCTGACCACTGAGTTCTTCGTACTCATTGAGCACCTCGATTAAATTCTCGCATTCCTGTAGGGAACCCCGAAGGAAAAGGTATGAATCGTCTGCAAAAAACAGATGCGAGATGCGGGGGGCCCGAGGCGCCACTTTCACTCCTTCGAGCCGTTGTTCAATGATTGCTTTGGTGAGGAGTGCCGCAAATCCCTCTGTGCAGATTGCAAACAGCAAGGGTGAGAGAGAGTCTTCCTGGAGAAGCCCCCTGGAAGGGGTAAAGTAACCAGAGGGGGTCCCATTCATGAGAACCGAAAACGAGGTTGACTTGAGACACTCCGAAATCCATCCACTCCAAGTAGAGTTAAAACCCAATTTTTTCAAGACCCACTCATTTTCGTTCAAAATCTCAAACCTATACACTTTGTTCTTCGATCTACAACAATCGGACAATTGATATGAACAAAGATCCAACAATATCAACCTATAGTCTTACACCCCTATTGGCTATTACTCCCATCAACCAAACCCTAATTGAATGCCCTTGGCTTAAATTTCCTGAAAACGACGGCTGAACAAAAAAAGTTGCCCACTTTTGAAAATTAGTGAAATTTGCAGATTTCGTGCTCTGTTATGTCCTGTCCCTTTCCAAGGATCCCTCCATGGATCCTTTCTTCGTTTCTTAAATGTCACCGTCCGTTTCTGCTTCACATAGCCTCCCTAATGAAGACAACCCCATCACTCATATCTCGAGAAAAGTCAAGTAAAGAAACCAGAATTTGGAATTCGATCAGAATCAAAGTGATAAATATTAGATAAATTCACACGGTACTAGAAGAAAATGATGATATATATGGTGCGTATTCAATTACTAGAGTTCGATTAGGGAAGAAAAAAAATGAGGGCTTTTTTTATGTCTCAATAGTTGTGTTATAACTATAAGTCGTTGAAATTAAAATTCTTTGAATTTAAAGTCCGATGGTATAATCACTTGACTGAAATGATAAGAGGTTTTTAGGTAAAATGGATTCAAGGAGTATATGGGTACTTTCTAAAATGGAAAGTGTTGGGCATGTGACTCGGATCCTTCCCCACTGAAGAAACACCAAGGATAATCACGCCAAAGAGGAGCGCGCAAGTACACCGGAGTAAAGCGCGCCGGAGTCAGGCGCGGGAGTCACGCCGGAGTCAAGCGCGCGGGTCGCGCCGGATCCAAGCACGCTGGTGAAGACCACCCCCGGAGGGGCGCGCGCGAATACTAAACGACGACGCATCACCCGGGCGTGGGCCCTTATCGAGAAGCAGCAGAAGCGGCGCCGCGTCACCGCGTCACCCAACGGGTAGTCACCATCATAGTCCTAGGTATAGTCCTGCTTGTGTCAGGAGTAGTCACATCAGTGTCCTAAAAGCATGGACTAAATCCCTGGCATGTCAGTGGTCATATCATTGTGTCCACTTGTAACCCAACCACTCACCCACCACCATGTAGCCTATAAATATGACATTTACTCCGGTGGGTGAGGGGATTGGATTTTTCAGACTCTATCTCTAAAATCATCAACTTCTCTCTCTAAAATATTTCTCTCTCAATCCTTCTCGTAATCTCCTCTGTTCTTCCATCGACGATTATCCCCTCACTGCTTACTCTCCTTGACCTATTTTCCCGAGTCTCCCTCCTACACCCAGTTAGGCTCAAACAGAAAGGTTACTCAAATATACGCCGGTATCAAGAAAGATTTATATTTTAATGGTCAAATTATTGAGAAGAATTAATTACATTTTTTTACATAATGTTGGAGCATTCAAATAAATTCCTCTATCAATTATCACATATCGGATCCGTACAAATTTCACGTTGTTAAGTTTGTGTTTGATTGAAGTTACATACAGCTAAACAACATATCATCCTATGCATATAGTACTACAAATCCAACGGCGGATCCAGGGGCCGCCCCGGGGCCACCACGGTCCAACCCTTCACTGGAT